GGGCTGACCCGGATGGCAGGGCTGGTGCCCTCTGGGAAAAACGTGTGTTTTTAAAGCTGTTTCCCTCCCTGCTCATCTCACGGCAGGGAAAGGAAGGGGGTTGGGGTGTTAAACTGTACTCAGTGCTGCTCCTGACTGTTCACCTCTGGTGAGTGATCCAGTCCCCCACTGTGCTCGTGTGGAGAAGGCAGCATCCCTTTCTGAGACCTATCACCTGACAAGGAGTGGGAATGGTTTCTGGATATGATGACCTTGGTGTGTGCCAGGGCCTCTCCCTCTCCTCCTGCCTAAACCCTCCACTTGCCATTAACAGTCATCTTCACATCACCCCCAAACACGTCACCCCTGCGCCTGCCACCTCCCCATGGGCAGGGCAGGCACCTACCATGTGTGCTCTGCAGACCTCATCTCCTCCAGCTGCTGAGTTTGATCTCCTGCTTTACACCCCTTCTACCTGGAAGATCCCCCTCCACCTGAAGCACAGCAAGAACCAGCACAGCTTCCTGTTGGAACACGCTCTTCATCCAACTCCAGACAAAGAATTTGGCTGTGTTTCCCACTGAAGCCACCTGCTTCAGCTGGAGGCACCAACAGCTTCTTGTAGCAGCACCAGGCTGCAGCAGTAAGAGCCTGAGCATGGCCAGAGTCACCCAGACACTGCACCTGGTCTGGTGAGTCAGGATAAATCATGCATGAGCAAGTGCTGTGCTGACAGGTGAGAGCATTGGCTTGTTCACCAGGTGAAGCTGCAGTACCTCTGCCCAGGTATGGACTGTATAGCCTGGACATGCCATCCTCAGCCATACTGGGATAACTTCACTTTTGCATGGGTACCAGGAGGCAAAATGCAGCAGCAACTTGGGATGTGCACACAGGGAAGGAGGATATGGGGATGGGGAGCCTCATGGGGATAGGGTGACTTGGAGCCCTATGGAGGCAGTCTGGGGAGGAGAAGGGATCTGCCTCTCTTCCTCAGCAGCTCTGTTTTTATAAAGTTCTCCTCCAGAATTAGAAAACACATATATGGGCACAGGGTGATGATTCCAATGGTGACATCACCACAGATAAATGTGAGCAGCACCCGGCTGGAAAGTCCCATGTCTCAAATCATGGCACAGTCTGAACCATTTCTAACACCATCATGCTTTCACTCAGCATCTGAAATGAAACAACCTGAAGCTGTTACCTCTCCTGTAAGCCAACACAATCCCATTCATAAAGCATGAAAATGGCTTTTCTCCACCATGATCTCATGAAGGCCCATCTGGACAAGCCAGGGTTCATGGCAAAAAAAAGCACAACCACTGTCACAGCAGCTGTTCTTGAGCAGCACCAAAAGGCACACAGGCCACTGGCTTTTTCATTCCTGTCCAGATCTCCTTGAGCTTTGCAAGTCCTACTAAAGCAGTAGTTTCTCTGCAATTTCTGGCCCATGTCACTTGAAATTCTCACACACAGACACCAGCTCTCTGGGCTGCAATACCACCAGGAGAAATTTTATTACATTTTCTAGACACAGTTATTGTCAGTTCCAGGTGATTGTAGCCCTGGAAACACAGAGTTAGAGGAGAGGGATGTGCTGATCCTCCATTCCATCAGATATTTATCAGAGTGCAGAACATACAGAGCTCCCTTGACCAGAGTTTTCATGGTGCAGGGGAACCCAAGAGCCTCATGCCACAGTGTCCCATGCCCCAATCAGCACTCAAAGCCCCCCAGCAGCACTGCACAACCCCCCAGAGCCCACCCAGGCTCTGGCAGGGCTGGGTGGAAGTTGGCACTAGCCCATTAAACCTCTCCAGAGGCTGCAATGCAAAGCCTGGTCATGCTAGGAAAACTCCCTCCCTCCTGCCCCAGATGGGGAAATGCTCTTTTCCATACAATGGGAAAAGAAAAACAGCAGGAAACCAAGAGCTGAACATTAATATGAAATATGCCCACCTCCCCCTCCACATAAAGGAGGGAGAACAGGACAGATTTGGCTGCCTGGGAGCCAGAGCTGGGGCAGGAAAGCCTTTGGGGCTGCAGCAGAGAGAGCAGGAGGCGAGTCTGGGGGAGATGGAGGGGCCTATCCCACCTCAGGCCTGTTACAAGCCTGGAAATCATCTCTGCTAAGAGCTAAAAGCCAAGGAAACACCTTGCCCTCAACCACAGGCATCCCGGGTGGAAGACAGCCAACAGCAAATACAATTAGTCCTCCCTCTCTGGAAACCAGGAAAACAAAAGTATGGAGACAGCAGGCTCCAGTCCTGCCTGCTCTCCCCTCCAGACACTCAACTTCTGGCTCCTTTCCATCAGCTAAGTACCAGAGAAGCCTCACACTGGGCTCCCACTGACTGTGGTCCCTCTGCTCTGCCTGGTACAAACCCCAGCTCTCCCCTCCATCCCCCAACAGTGGAGGGAAGCAATCCCAAAGAGTCAGCAGGCACTCTGTGCCGTGGTTACAGAGGATGTCAGCCACAAGCTGCACCTCCAAGGTCTTTTGTTTTCAGTCATGACATGACAGCAGCCTGACAAACCAGCCCAGGTGGGTCCTCCCAGCAGCCCCAGGCTACATCCTGCATCATCTCACCACTAAGGTGGACATGGTGGTTCTTGCTTTTCATCCTGTTTCCCCCAGCAGACACAAGGAGAGCTGGCCCTGGAGCACGTTTTGGCATGGTCACAGAAGACCTGCCCATCAGGTCACTGCTGCCTGTGAGCTGCCTCCAGAAGATGCTACAGCAATTAAAATCTCTCATTTGCTTCCGCTCCCCCAAGCAACATCCCTGCAAACCCTCAGGCAGAGTCCTTGTGCCTCTTTTGTTTAAGTGTGTATATAAGTATCTGTATAAATATTATATCTATGAACACAAAGAGACA